CAAAACCTTGCACAACTGCACTGCCTCCGACCTACCCGTCCTCTGCTCGCACACTCCCTGGACAGCTGCACCAAGCAAAACCCGTGCAAAGCTCCAGTTCCTCTTTCTCTCTCTGTCTGTTCCTCCCTCCCTCCCTCCCTCCCTCCCTCCCTCCCCGGGACAAACGGATCTTGTATGCAGTCGAAGGAGAACTGTCATGAAGACTGAATCTTTCATGTAAAAGCTGAAACCTAGGGGGTGGCATTAGGGTGCGCCGGACGACCTCGGGAAAAGATTCTACGTGTGAACGTGTCTACAACGCCCCTTGCTGGCCCCGGAAGGCACCGGAGAATTATGGCGTCACTTTGCTGCACGATGGCAGACGAAACTGAAAAAAGCATGGGCGGAGCAGGCCTTTGCTAAGGCAGGATTTATTACAAATCTCACAAGTCGAGAGGCACTACTTCGAATCCCTGTTTGCAAGAGAGAACTTTGACTGTACTGGCATGCGCGGTAGATCTTTGAGAGGGGTATGATTCGGAGCTTTGCCTGCGTCGATCCCATGCACACTGTCGGGAGAGAGAGGCAAAGCAAACAGGCAGTCCTAAACCCCAACTAAACTAAAAAAGGCATGACCCATCACTTGACACTCCCCCGAAAAACAAAAACACCCCGTCAAGCATTTTAAAGCTCACTCACCATCCCTCTTCACTGTTCCCAGTCAGATCCATCTCATGCTCGTTGTCGGGCTCTGTTGTGTCCGTCGCGCCATCTAAGTCTAAGTGCTCCCTGAATCTTCCAAGCTGGTTCTCCCACGATACACCCTCGTGTCTGAGCTCATGCCTAGCATCTCTCTCTCTCTCTCTGTCTCTCGCTCGCTCGATCGCTCGACTCCGTCTCCCTGAGCCCTCGACCCACTTGAAAAGAAATCGATAGCCCGGCTCTGAGAGTCGGAAAAGGAAATTAGCGACCGATCCTGGGCGGCTGAGGTTCGAGAAGCGGACATGGAATTTGGCATGCTGCTGGTAATTCAGCCCTTGACCGCGAAACTCGCCCTAAATCTTCATCCCAAACCGATGGATTTGGGCGCTCCGGGGTGTAAGCTGATTGTTGTGCCCGCAGCTTCGAACTGGAGAGCCTTTGAGCCTCCCGTATACGGGAAAAACTGAGCTGCAACAACAAGCTCAAAAGGTAGATGATTCCAGCATCCAAACCCGGTAGCTTCCGATCAGCCCTGGCACAAGCCGAGATTGGGGTTCAGAGCAGTAGCAAAACGCTCACCTTAGTTCATGCGCTCCCGCGATCTTTGTCGTAAAAGGGCACCAAAATACATCGTAAAATCAATGTTGGCAACAAAAGGCGCAACGGGCAGCCCAGACTCGTCATGCATCCAGTGGTCTAGCTACTGAGATGGTAAAAACGATGAGTCACTCAGACAGCGGTCGTTGATGCAGAACTCCCAGACAGAAATTCTGGCCGGGTTGAGAAGCTAGAATTGCCTCGGTCGACTTCGATCTTTTCCTTCAAACCCAAGCTCCAGGCCGTATCCGCAGCTGTCGAGGCAAAGCAGAAATCCGAAAAGTCCAAACATTCCTGCAGAGCTTTGGGGGAGAAAGGGCGCGCTGGGCTCCAGTGTCGAAAAGCCTGGGATCTCAGGACATGTCGTGTGCGGGACCAGCGACTCACTAGGGTGTAACGCCTATGGCGGGGCAAAAAGAGGAACTCAAACTCATGTGCCCCCTAGGGCGGGAGCACTGGTGTGGCATGATCTAAAGACCAGGAGAAAGGGCATGACGAACTGAAAACGAATCATGCTGAAAGGCTGGATTTTCACATCAGGGTAGACCTCGGGCTGAATTTGGGGTTCACTTGGGTGGGGGCTCGTTCTTCTTGAGCAAAGCCTTCACACGCAGGAACTCCGCCTCCCAACAGCCGCTGAACGGACACTATGTGACCAGCCGACCTACCAGTGGTGCTGGCAGCACGGCTCCCACTCCTGCGAGGCAAACGGCACCGTCTCAAACCACGGACGTAACGTCCCAGTTGCACTACACTGCACAAAGAACAGGGCGCCTGGGATGTGCAGGCAATCTGGGCGGGGAGGGCCTCTCTTTCTTTCTCGAGCCTCGGGCCCGCCCCGCACTCTCTCGCCCCCACTCTCTCTCTCTCTCTCTCTCTCTTTCTCTCTCTCTCTCTCTCTCGCGCTCTCTCTCTCTCTCTCTCTCTCTGTTCTGTTCTCCGGGGCTTGAGGTGCGTGTCAAGCACCCCGCGCCGGATGGCGCACCCCTGTATTAGGGGCCTTGTGGGGGCTTTCAAGAAGCTATGGATGCTCGGTTTCCGGAAAAAGACACGGAAGCTAGGTCGAAGGAACAGGTAAAAATCACAAATCACAACAGCACATCCCCCTGAGCTTCCACGACCTACTTCAGTTCTCTCTCTCTCTCTCCCCTCTAGCTCCCGCTCACTCGCTGCATCAACAGCCGAAGTAATGAGCAAGTAAACCAAGGGCTGTTGCCTGCAATCTCTTGTACACTAAACTGGAATATGCAGCTTCTGCTCGCAAATGTGCTCGCGCTCCGGTGGCTGTCACGGCATTCTCAAGCACCACCTCGGAAAACAAGGACCGACTGGCAAAATCTCCCTCCTGGATATCAGCTTTTCCCTCCGAGCGCTGCGAGGTAACCTTGGCCAGCCCTCTGAGAGAAAGAACATTTAGCGTAATTGGGTGCGATCTGGAGGGTGGGGTGGTTTCGCATTCGTGGCTGCGGATAGTTTAATCGCGGGCCCCGGCGTCCATTTTCACAAGTCAAAGATTAGTTTTTCGTCTCAAAGCCTCTTCCATCCTAGTCGCGATACTGCGCAGGGTGCATCAGAATAGTTACATGCCTCCTCCAGAACTCACCGCAAAGCTTTTTCTGTGCTTAGTCGAAAAAAACACACACATGCATGTGTACACAAATGTATCTAAGTCAGCATGTGCGTAAGTCTCTCTGTCTGCCTGTCGTTCGTGTGTGCGTGTGTGTGTACATGCATGCATGCATGCATGCATGCATGCATGCATGCATGCATGCATGCATGCATGCATGCATGCATGCATGCATGCCTGCACACACGCATGCACGCACGCATGCATGCATGGATGGATGGATGGATGGATGGATGAGTGTATGTATGTGTGTATGTATGTTGCGTGAAGGTCAGGCCCGGTTTGGCATGTGTATGCATGGATGCATGCATGAGTGTAAGCATGCATGTACCCAGGGCAGAACGTGTGTGTGTGTGTGAGAATGCATGTATGCACAAGCATGTCAATGTGCCTATCTGTTTATTTTGCGCAGTGTCTCTATAAAGGGCAGAGGCTTGCAGTGGCGTTCAAAATCGGCAAAAGCACAATGTGACGGAGCATGTTTTGGACATGGTGGTGACAGCGTATGTTTGTATCCGCAGACACACACATCCATACCACGACTTTGTACAGCTCCGTGGGCTTCTTGAACACACACACTTTTGCTGGACTCGCATATAGGCACAATCCAACATTTTTCGTCGCCTCTGCCATACCATATCATATACCATGGCTGCCATGTCCAGTTAAGCCCAGCAAGTGGGGACCCTCGTCAATCACATGCTGCACGCGATTTGGAAGCAAACAAGACCACCTCTCGATTGGCGGGATCAGATGCAACAAAACACAAAGCCAAGTCAGACCGGCTTGCTTGCAAGTACGGAGAATACGAATTGCTTGAACACTCGGGAAAGCCATCTTCACCATCATCGCTTTCTTAGGTAGGCACGAAACCGCCCACTGCCAGGAGCCGTCGAACCGTGGCTGCCACTTCCGCCATGATGCCGTGAGCGCCCAGGGACCCTGAAGCCTAACCGAAGCACCTGAACAAGAAAGTCTTACCATATGCAGGAAGTGAAACTGAATCCACATCCCCCAATCCAGAGTAGCAGCGCGAAATGATGAACACAATTGCGGCCACAGCTGGCAAATGTAGACCTGACATACACGCTGTCAACGATTCTTGTACGATGACGATGGCAGAATGTGGTCTTTGCCTCATGCTGGCTCCGTAGCTGGTGCTGAGACATCGAGAACACATCGGGTAAGATCTGGGACGGCGCTTCGAGACTTTCTTTCTAAGGTTGAACCAATGGGCCCCTAACATGGGCCCTTCGGGGATTCTAGGGTCCCTTAAGGGTATATATAGGGTATATAGTAGGTATATTAGGGTCCCAGGGTTAAGGGCCCATACTAGGGGCCCATGGGTTCTACCTTAGATTCTTGGAGAAGCACCATGAGCATCAGCACTAGCAAAAACTCCTCATCGTCGCGACACCAGTAGCACCACGAAGCATGATCGTGATGATCGTCATGGTCAGCACTATGTCCATCACTCTTCTGTAGTTGGGATCATGCTGATCATACCCTCGTGATCGTCATGGCTATCATGATCACCATGGCCAGGCACACGAGTCTGAGCACCGCCAGCGTGATCATCATCTTCACTTTCGTCTCGCATCAGCGGCTCATCACCAACATCACACTCAAGCATCTGAACATGGTGCTATATGTTTCGTCATGCTACGAGCCGACGGATTTCCCTTCAAACATATCTTGATCTTTCGCGTCCTCTATTTGACTCTAGTTTTCGAGTATGTACACCAGATTGCACACCATCATCTGCAAGGTGGAAGGTCGTCACCGTGGCGCTTCTTTCCCTTTCTTTCTTGAACCAGCACGAGCACGGCTCGATATCGCGAGGTGCGGACCGAATTCGGGCGACTCGGTGCAGCCATCTCGGGGCAACTGCACCGGACGCAGAGATACTGTAACCGTAGGCTGCGAATGTATGACTGCAGGCACTACTACACAATCCAAGAACTTCCAGAAGCCCCAGAGTCTGCCCAGAGTTCAGACAAATGTCTTGAACACTAGTCATCTCATACATAGATAAGCTGCCGAAAGGCTGCTCTTTCTCTCGCAGGGGCCCTTGAAAGCTTCGATTGTGCATTCTTCACTTGCCGGACCCCTCAGCTGCGGCGACAGCCACGTCGAAGCGGCGCTGCCAACGCTTCGCCGGTCGCGAGGGCTTGATGCTCCCCCAAAACATGAGCTTTGCCTGGCTGTGGCGGTTTCTGGTTCAGCAAAGAAGCGGCAAAAGAAAACCCAAATTGGCAACCACAGTGACGACAGAAGGATTACAATAAGGGCTCAAGAAGAACAGGACAATAGGCCCATAAAGCAATCATGCGCCGGGGGCATCTTTCCTGCTGAGAATGGGTTTGTTGGCACGGAGTTTTGGCTGCAAGGGCAGGTTCTTGGAGTTCGGCGTATCGGCGTATTTCGAACTTACGGATGTCCACCTTCCTTCCAGGCCTCTGGGGTAAGAGCAGGTCATGAAGTCAGCTTGACACGTCATGTGGCCCAGAACTCAAGCCCCGAAACCTGAGACTGCAACTGGAGTCGTCATGGCCCCAAGCAAGGCAGAGGATTGGAGGAAGCTCCAACGGCAGGAAGAAGCATGGCAGCACGGCTGAACCGAAGATGCACAGCTGCTGCAATCCGGAAGAGAACAGAGTGAACTATGGAGGCACATCACTGCTGCGACCCTTCTTTGTTCTGCGACATGGAAACGGGGGTTGCAGGGTAAGTGTATCAGGGAGAAAGACCGTGCATTTGCAACCATTACCTCGACCTCCATCAAGCTACTTTGTGTGGAATCCCTTTCTTTGCATGGTGGGGTAGGCTTGGCGGTGGTTGATGATGCGTGGATGCGGACATCCCTGTAATCCTTCTTCCATATCGCACCGCTAACTTGCAGACCCATACACCACCTACCCACTGCTCCGCTACACGACCCCGCAGGAGATGGAGCAAGCGTTTGTGCCAGGCGCCCTAGCCCTAGCGCCGACGGGGGAAAGACGAGGGGCTCGGCCCCTGGAACACCAAGAAAACCTTTCACCCCGAAACACTACAGGCAAAACGCTCCAACCAGAAACCTTATTTGGGAAGCCACCCCCCCCCCGAAAAGCCAGACAGCAAGCCACTTAAACCCGAAAACCTCCTAGAACACGCACACCGAAAACCCCCCAAAAAAGCCCAGAAACCCGAAAGTTCTGAAGTTCAAAGGCCAAGAGGATCTTGCATAGCCCTGACACCGTCAAACCCTTGTTTCATGCCAATTTTGTGCAGGCGGCTACCAAGCCCTCGTGAAAAAAACGCTGACTTCCTAAATCATAAAAAAAGCAACCCAAATAGTGATACAACGCCTCGAACCACGAAGCCCCACAAAACCAAACGAACCAAAACAACCTTCTCACTCCAAGCCTTTGAGTCCAAGACCCGCTTCTGGGATGTACGACCCACAAATCTTGATTCCGAAACCTCGAATCCCTGAGAAGCTCTTCAAGCCCTGGAAAGAACAAGCCCAAACCACCAGAGCTTGTGCCACACCCAGGCCTCGCTGACCCACGCCTTGGTCTTCTCCCCATAGAAGGAGACGCAATAGGGCTCCGTGTCCTGAGGCAACGAGGTTTCGACAAGGGCTGACTGCGTCACACCGGAACACGCTAGACTGGGAGCCCAAAGGCCGAGCTGGACTTCCCAAAAACCCTGGGGCTCCTGATGAAGAAGCTCAGGATCCTTGAAGCTCACTCTCAGACTTTGTCAAGCAAGGGAGGCTTTAGCCTTCTGGGTCTTGTGGGCCCTCACCCTCCGCAGGCCAGCAAGGCAGGTTAACGAACTCGGAGGCAACCCGCCCAGGCAGATGATAACAAGCAAGCAAGCAACAACTGGAGTCCGAGCACAGCAGACCCTCAACCAGCTTAGCATAATATCCGAACTCAAGCGGGAGCTTCTTTGGCACCACGATTTGGGCAAGGGTTCTGAACATTTTTCGAATCATGTCTAGCGCTCATTCTGAGGGCAGAAGACCCCAGGCCTCTGCACCGTCGAAGCTGATCATCTCCACTTTCGCCGGCCAGCGAGGACCATAGCCAGAGCACCACACACGGTCCCCAACCGCATGTCGAAGCCCGAGCCTTGCGGTAGCTGGGCTTTGGCTGAAGCTTCGCCTGGTCCGAAGCTGAGACAACCACCATCTGGCCCAATTCCGTCCGGAACACAGCTGGCATTCATGTTGCGACAGTGGTGTTCTTACAAGCCTTTGGACTCTTAAGCTTCATGTCTACCAGCCGGCACTGCTGCTCTCTATAGTTCAACTTGCAACGAGCACACTAAGCCCCATAAACGTTACACTGCGAAATTGAGCTCCCAGCCTTAAGCGCAAAACCAAAAGAAACGAGACTCCACCCCTGCCATCGTGAATGCCCAGATATCAATCTGACTTGTGTTTCCGGTCAAGAAACTTTGCAGACAGCGCGGACGTGCAATTTTGGCATGACCTGGCCGGCCAACGATTCATCCATCTCTGAAGGTTCCAGCTTGGGTGCAGTGGTTGAGTTGCAATGTCGGGGCTCACAGCGTAGTGTTCAGGGTTTGGGGCTTTGGCACTCACAACTTGCACATGCTTTCTGGAACATCGACCAACACTCCGGAGAAGTCCTTTGCCGCTAGGATCAGTGGCCAAAGCACACAGTGACAAGACCTCGCGGAACGAGCCCGCCAAGGCCCAAGCCCCAGCAAATAGCAAACATCCGGACCCAACACAGTCTAAAGCAGGGCAAGAAAACAAAGCAAAGCACTAATCATTACTGGGCCAAGGTTTTTCCAAAGGCCCCACAGCCCCCCAGCAGAGCACTGCCGGCCCCTTTCGCTCCACAGCCGTGCCGCAAACGCCACAGCGCACCTCCGGCCTCGGAAGCTTTGTGAATGCAGGCTTCTCTGACACGCATTGCTCCATTACCCTCCACTGCAAGCTGTCAGTTCAACTTAAAAAGTTGGGTGCCAGCCGGATATGGGTACGGTCCAGCTACGTTCGTGCTGAGCCGACGGCTTCAGGCTTGACTGTCTTGCAAACCCCTGGCGTAACCCTGAAAGCCATGCCGTCTCAACGGAACTGAACCCTGTCCCGTCTGAGCAGAAGGCGGACATGAACCTAAAAGCTGCACGCAGACAGAGGCACCCTGGCAGCGTTGCGCTCGCGGTTGAGGGCATGGGCTTGGGGCCTGCAGATTTTGAAAAGCACGTGTTGAGGAGACTTTGTCGTGCAGATCTACGACAAGGGTACAGCATTCGGGTTCGCCAAGAATCGGCGAAATTTGGTGTGACTGCCATGCAGATCTCTGGAGAGACACTGCCCACGCCTCTACTGGATGCTGCTAGAAGTAGCGGGCAATGATCCCAGACGACAACGTTCCGACATCCTCCGACCATCTACCTCACCAGCCAGCAGCGCTACACATGCTGCCTCGTCCTTCTTTTCTTTGCCATTGATGACCTGGAGCGAAGAAACCATTCAATCTGGATGTCGCCTCCGTCTGCAGGCGTTGACATCACATGGCTGCCAAAAGGCCTTGCGTCCAGATCGCCTGTCGGATTCACCACCTGTCGCTGCGTCAAGCTCGACCTGTGAATGAATGCTGCTCTGAATTTCAAGGCTGCTCATCAATACATGGAGCCACTGCTTTCTGGGCTTGCTACAGCGGCCAAATGACGTCTGCCCCTGCCTTCACGTTTGCCTTGCAAGCGGCTTCTTTGCTCGCCTGCCCCATGCTAGAGTTGGACCACTTCCATGTAAACATATGTAGACCCCTGCGGTTGCCGCTACAAGAAGCCGACAATTTTTACTGTCACGAGTTAGCAGTGATGCAACACTTCGTTGTCTTTCTTTTCATTATTACTGCCAGCCTGGAGTAAAGAAATATACCATGACTCTGAATCTAGAAAAAACCTGGCTGCCAAAGGCCTTGCCAGCTCGCCGGTGTGAATCAACAGTGCCCATCGCTCCGTCAACCTCGGCTTGCGCATGAATGCTGATCCGAATCTGACGGCTGACTCTGCTCTCTGGACATGCTACAACGGCTAAGTGGAAACATGCATGCTCCCCGCCTTCATGTTTGCTTTGTCTGCGGCTTCCTTGCTCGCCTGTCCCATGCTAGCAAAGGACATAGTGAAGGACGGCTTACGTGGAGACACAGGCACGTCGAAAAAGGATCTGCCCCTCCCCCTCCAGCAGAATCAAAGTCTCTGTTGTAGCATTCCGACTGACTGCCGGTCACCATCCGGCAAGTGGTGCAGACACGGCCTTGTCATTCTTGTCCTTGGCGGCCTGGAGCAACGAAATTATGTCACGACAGCAGGCGTTGGCATCGCAAGGCTGCCAAAAGGCCTTGCGTCCAGATCGCCTGTCGGAGTCAGCACCAGCTTTCGCTGCGTCAAGCTCGACCTGTGAATGAATGCTGCTCTGAATCTCAAGGCTGCTCATCAATACATGGAGCCAGTGCTTTCGGGGTATGCTACAGCGGCCAAATGACGTCTGCCCCTGCCTTCACTTTTGCCTTGCAAGCGGCTTCTTTGCTCGCCTGCCCCATGCTAGAGTTGGACCACTTACATGTAAACATATGTAGACCCCTGCATGTTGAAGAAGATGTGTGGTGCCCTCAGCTTGCGTGCAAACTCTGCGATGTAATTTGGACGTTTGATCTCCGGTTGCCGCTACAAGAAGCCGACAATTTTTACTGTCACGAGTTAGCAGTGATGCAACACTTCGTTGTCTTTCTTTTCATTATTACTGCCAGCCTGGAGTAAAGAAATATACCATGACTCTGAATCTGGAAAAACCTGGCTGCCAAAGGCCTTGCCAGCTCGCCGGTGTGAATCAACAGTGCCCATCGCTCCGTCAACCTCGGCCTGCGAATAAATGCTGATCCGAATCTGACGGCTGACTCTGCTCTCTGGACCTGCTACAACGGCTAAGTGGAAACATGCATGCTCCCCGCCTTCATGTTTGCTTTGTTTGCGGCTTCCTGGCTTGCCTGTCCCATGCTAGCAAAGGACATAGTGAAGGACGGCTTACGTGGAGACATGGGCAAGCCGAAAAAGGATCTGCACCTCCTCCTGCAGCAAGACTCTAGGACAAGCTGATAACAAGTCTCTGTTGTAGCATTCCGACAGACTACCGGTCACCATCCGGCAAGTGGTGCAGACACGGCCTTGTCATTCTTGTCCTTGGCGGCCTGGAGCAACGAAATTATGTCACGACAGCAGGCGTTGGCATCGCAAGGCTGCCACAAGGCCTTGCGTCCAGATCGCCTGTCGGAGTCAGCACCAGCTTTCGCTGCGTCAAGCTCGACCTGTGAATGAATGCTGCTCTGAATCTCAAGGCTGCTCATCAAAACATGGAGCCACTGCTTTCGGGGCATGCTACAACGGCCAAATGACGCATGCACCCGCCTTCACTTTTGCCTTGCGAGCGGCTTCTTTGCTCGCCTGTCCCATGCTAGAGTTGGACCACTTACATTTAGAGCGCTGCATGTTGAAACAAGTCCTCAGCCTGCACAAAAACTTGCAGGAATTTAGACATCTGATCTGATCTCTGAGCAGACACTACCTCCTTGTAGCAGCAAGATCTAGGACGAACTCACAACAAGCCTCTCTTATTATAGCATTTCGACCGACTACCGGTCCCCATCCAGCAAGTGGTTCACACACTGCCTTGTCATTCCTGTCCTTGCCATTGACGGCCTGGAACAAAGTAAACATATCAATACTCAGTCTGTATATACCCGCCGTCTGCATGTTCGGAAGGGAAGATTAAGTGATCAGGGTACCACGCATGCCAAGCACGAGCAGTGGCATGTAAAGCAAAATGAAGTGATCCGTAGGGTGTAAAGGTTTCTGCCCCGCACCCGGCGCAAAGGAACGGCGCAGCACAACAAAAAACGAAAGGTGAACACCTCGCTGTCCCTGGCAAGGGCAGGTTTTTCCCCGTCCCCCTGCACAAAACAATTGAAAAGAGTGAATCCCTGTCCCCATGAAAGAACACACCAAACACACGACACACACTCACACAAACATACATACAAGTACAAGCATGCATGCATGCAAACATACATATGTATGTGTATATTTTTATATATAAGAATGTTCGACACCTATGATCTGGCAATGAAGATGCCTTTGTCCACCTGCAAGATGCTTCAAACCCCTAGGCATGCACACTGCGCAAGCAATAAGAGCAGCGACAGCTGCATCGCTGACTGGATTTAGGAATCCATGAACCAGATCCAAAACAGCCTGGCACGGTCGGGGCCACATCCTTCGAACTCAACTCCCGGAACTCCAACAAACCTTGCAAGGCAGCACGAGTCTCTATGCTCCTCCCGCCTGCGGATGGACTGCCATGGATACGAACGTCTGGATATCTGCGAAGCGAAAGAAGCGAGCTACGGAGCAGATGGCAAAAATATTTAAAAATCTTCAGGATATGGCGGACCTACAGATAACGACATTACGACTACATCAAATCTAACATGCGGCTTGCCATGCACATGTTCGAGAGCATGTCTCAAGATATGGAGTCCCGCAACCTCGTGAACCCTTGCCCTCCAACCACCACAACTGAGCACAACCCCACATCGTTTTGCCTGAACTCTTGAAACCTAGCATAAACCTTGCAAGACCTCGCCCCTATATATTCCTACTTGAGGAGGGCTCTCGCTGCCGAAACATGCGGCTCTTGACTTGCAACCTCCATCAGCCACCGTTGCCAACGGTGTGGGATGCGCTACACCGGAGGGCTCACTTTGCTGTGGCATAAGCCAAATCGTCCTTTGTTATCTGCCAGACAGGATCTCCTGCACCGCAACTGCTCGAATGGATCTGGTACATACATATGTTCATACATACAGATAGGAAGCAACCGGAGACCATCCTCAATGCCCAAACTTGAATCCAGAAAGCAAGTCTAAACAACCCGAACCTGAACTCGGAATCCAACATCGAAACACGGATGCCTTGCTTTGCGGCCTGTGAGTGGGGGGCGTATTCCTTCGGCCAAGCGAGGACGAGGAAACCACGGTTCGGGCTGCGTTGCGTTGCTTTACCCAAGAGTGCTATGGTGTCCTCCACCACGGTCTCCTGGAAATGGGCGAGGAGCTCAGCCTGAGGCATACAAGCACGCTGTGCCCTTTTACCGTCGCTTTCATGTCAAGAAAAAAGGTTCTATTGTAGTTGTGCTCTGTACTCCCTAACTGTGCTTGTACGGCACGGAATGGAACGGAATGGAAGTGGTTGCGCCCCGGCGCTTTTCCCCCACCACATCGCAGGGCAGCTCTGCAAGTGTCATAGCCAAGGTTCGAGACGGGAATTTAGCATAGTGCAGAGCAAGTTGTGACATGGGGAACAAGAGGGTAGGGACGAGCGGAAGGACGACGCGGAGTTGGGGCATTGCATGTGGGCGCAAGTGAAGGGACAAAGCCCGGCGCTTTGGGGAAGCAGCTCTTGGCAGGGACAGAACGGTAGGCCGAAATGCAACCAGATCTCGAGCCGAGATAGGCCACCCCAAAGGAGCACAGTTGGGGTGTTCGTGGCTGCGGGCCCTGGGTCAGAATAACACCTGATAGTGGAAGGGGAGGTTTCTGTGGGTGTCTGACCTGACCCACAAGTAAGAGAGGCTAAGCTGAGGAGCCCAAATGGGAGGGCACAGCTTCGCATGGCTTCCTGATGGCTTTTGCAAGAGAGGGGTGAGAGCGTGCCATAGCGTGCCCAGACTCGGAGAATAGTGGGACTGCTGCTCAGCTAAAGAGCCCAAACCAAACCACCCATAGCGAGAGAGGGCATGGCACGGGCAAGAGTGGCGGCCCTTGGGCACAGCTCAGCATAACCCCCGACAGAGTCAGCAGAGAGCGAGTGGAGAGAAAATTGGGAGTAGGGAACCGGCTCGGCCAAAAAGGCCAAATCGCCCATTGCAACGACGGACTCCCAGCACGGGTCGGAAAGTGACCGGTCTAAGCCGCTAGACGCGCTTTGGGTTCGGCATGCCCGGTGAGAGGATGAGAGAGCGCAAAGAGGACCTGAGAGCACTGGCTCGGGGTTGGACTTCTGGGGCCGGGAGGGGAGTGCTCGTCGAGATAGACAGCTAGATCCGCGGGAGCCATACTATGACTAGTAGCTACTGTCGATCACTCTGAGGTGCTGGTGCTAAAGCAAAACCAATACTTTCCGCAAGGCACCTCTTCCTTTGCCATTCCTGGGCTCCTTTCAGCTTTGGCTTGCTTGTTCGGAAGGCTTTGGCCTGTGGCGATTTGCCGCCGGTTCAAGGCTCAGCTTCGCAACACCGGGCAAGGTCATGGTCACGGCGGCTCTACTCCAAGGTTCCTCAGAAGTTGAGCAAAAAAAGAAACCCGATACCACCAAAGCTTGTGAAATCAGTTCATGTGTACGTGCCAAGTAGTACAAGTCTGGGTCCGGAATATGCTGGCATGCATGATGACTGGGCCGCAAGCCACATCCTGCAAGCGAAGTCTGGAGTCAGGACCAGCAGTGGCTAGCTCGAGTTCTCGAAGATGCGCCTGGCGAGGAGCTCTCTATTCAGCACCCTCTGTGGGCTCTAGCACTGATGACTGCGCAGCTCTGCAGCGCAGCATGTAGGTACACAGCCCCGACGACACAACATCTAAACGCGTGTTTGCTCTGTCCAGTGGTTCGTCCTGAATAATGGAGGCACTTTCCCCTTTTCCATCTCCGACAAGTCGGGTGCAACCGTCAATGACCTGGAATGGGCTTGGCAATGGAACTTTTCAGAAGTAGTCAAGGCACCACTGACACAGCCCGCCCAGATTTTGCACACCAGCTGGGCGCCGCTTGCTGCTAGATTCGACTCTCCTCGATTCCTCCCCCGTGCAGAATCTCCTAGCGGTGGAGATCTGTCGAGTCGCACCGGCAGCCCGTGACCAGTAAAGAACCGGCCGCCATCTCCTGACCTTCCACCAATCGGTCCGGATGAAAGTGAATAGCAACCCAGTCAGCTCCCCCAGTGTGTTTGCTGGCACCGCATCCGTTTGGAATGTTTCTGTCCCTTCCCCGCTGTAGTCGCTGCGACTCCAAATCCTTGATAAATCGCGACCTCCGCAAGTGCGGCTGTACATGCAAGAGATAGAGCACTTAAACTAAATTTCTGTGCATGACAAAAAAAATGACAAACCCGCAATCAAGACCAACCTGTAGCACAAAGCACATGGAATAAGGTGCCGAATCGCTACCATCCACCTGAAAAACACCAACGATCTGATCTCAACGAAGAACCCGCAGCCGTTAAATGAGCTCCTTGGCTATGGCTCTTAAAAGGCTGCCTCAAGCTTCCAAGCGGCGGTACGACAAAACTCTCACATCGCGCAAAGCTCCAAACCCTGAGGCCAAGCCCTGTTTCAGTGCAGGCCAAGCTCGCTCAACACAATGCGCCGAACCTCAAAGCTGCTGCCTGGGACCCCAAGAGCAACAGCCCAAACTGCAATGCCATGCGCGGGTAACCCAATAAGGTGATCTGAAACTCTGTGCCTTAGGCAACCTGGCCTCCACATTGCCACGAAAACTTCAATCCGAAGCTGTAGCCCTTGATGTCTGGCCAGCCTTTGCCCACCACTGAGTTGCCCACACAGCATGGACGGCCTGACAGTCAAGGCTCTCTCTTCTCCTACGAGTTTACTTGGCTATGCTTCCCGCCCGTTTACCTGACCACGTCGCACAGCAAAGAACACACAAGAATATCGGCAGTTTTTGCTGCCTCCTACTTCGCAAGGACGAGCCCACATTGCAGTGTGTTCTGAGTCGGTAAGTCCCTCACCTCTTGTCTGTCTGTCTGTCTCTCTTGTCTGTATGTATGTGTTTCTGACCATGTGTACAGATGTGGATATATGGTACACCCCAAACAAACAAAACCGCTCCGACCACTCGTTTGCCGAAACCATTCTCTACAAGCCTGTGCATGCAACCTAGGCAGACTTGCATACACTTCGTTTTTGCAAGGCAAGTCTATGTTCTATATGGTGTACTACAGACAACTGTGCAAAGAAGATTGCTGGAAAAGTTGTCCGTCTTCAATGTTCACGTCTTCAATGTTCAAAGCACGAGAAACTTCAGTTTGGATTTTCTGAGTTTCTTTGATTCTTTCAACATGCGTAAAATAATATGTGCTGTATTCTCCGCCGAGCTGCATCCTGCACTTGCTGGTCACCGCCTGTGTTGTAGCACAAGCATCATGCCGTAGCATTCTGACCCGTGTAGATCTACGGACCTTGTTGCCATCATGTCGGCTCCCATGCAGATTCAGCGCCTTTGCCACATCACCCCGGCGGGTGTGGCAACTCTTCATCTTGCTCCGAGTTCTTCAACATCAAGTTGGCACGCCCAAACGCCAAGCACATCAAGAAGTTCATCGATGAGATTCCAGTGCATCCATCTCGCATGTAGCTAACGGACACTAGATTACTTTTAAGCCAGGGGAACATTCGACCACTCAAGCCACATACTAGACGGATCTCAATATGCATATTCACAATTTGCTTGTGTTTGGGCCGGAGCAACTCTATCGAATACTCGCTTGCCAACTAAAGTGAGTGTGCAAAATTCAACTATACAAGGACTCACACACGCCTGCCTTTT